GAGCTAAGTGTGGTGAATTTGTGAATGTACAGTTTGATTATGCTTATTCATTAGGTTCGCACCTTGACTAAAAAGTCAAAACAGGAAACTAAATAATTTTTAACGGAAGCGAAGAAACGAATTAATTTTTTTAAATTCGTTTTTAGTGCTTATAAAATGTGTTTGCTATTAGGGAACGTACCCATAGTACGTGACCACTTTCTCCAATTTTTAACCGCCTCTCCCCCCTCGGTAAAAAAATTTGAAGATTACATCTCACGATGCAAATTTGCAGCAGGGGTGAGTTCTAAAACAGAATTAGGAGTGGCAAAAATACAAATAAAATGTTTTCTTGTGTTCTATTTATTAAAATAATGTGATTACACACTTGCAAGTTTAATTTTCGTCAGTATTTTAATAAAAATAAAATAAAAGAATTGAAAGTTTTCAACGCCTAAATTTGTAATTGACAACTAACATTTGTTTTCGTTTTGTTTTGGCCAGCAGTTACAAATAGAAAATGTCGTTGATATTTGAAAGTTCCATAAATAAATTGATAGCAGAAGTTGAAAAAAGGTCAGCATTATATAATTATTAAAATTATATTTTAATTATATCTGTGGTCATAAGCAATAACCGCCTAAGTCGAAAAACCTGAATTCGAGAAAAGGCGCTTTAAAGATTTGCATCCAAATTCATAAAAATAAATAATACTTTAACTGCTTGGTAAATCGAAATTTATATAATTATATTTTTATGAGAATTATATTGAATTTTAACTCCTGCCAATTTTAATTTAAAGTGGATTTTATTGAAATTCACTCGGAAGTGAATTGCAGAACCTGCCTGTATATCTTATATATAAATAGGCAAACATGTCGGTAATTGACGGTGTTTATCAGGTAGCTACCGATTCAGCAGTCCTGTAGTCACTCCCCCGTACTGCAGAGGACCGACTACTTGCAGTGTATTTTATCGATTACTTTTACAAGGCAATGTCCTAGCCGGTAGTCACCATCGGCACTATCTCCACTACCGGGAGTTACTAAAGTAGTCACTTGCGTGATTTATGGGCGCCCTCTGTCGTAGTTTTTCGCTATTCTACTTACGACTGGTTCGACTCTGCACTACCATGTGCACTACCACGGGTTAATAGAGTAGCTACTTAACTAGGAGTCGGTGCAGTAGCGGTTCAAAAGTGGCGAGTGACTCCAGCAATACTGGAGGGAACGTGACACCAATCCAAATACCATACATGTACATGGTTGGGCGGAAATGCTTCCTAAATGTATGCTTTAATATTGATACTGAGTTAATAAGGAAAAGTGCTAAGCAGCAGTTTAGGAATAAGATTTGTGTAGATTGAGATGCATGCAAGGAAGAAGGTAAAGTTGAGTATGTAGAAGAAAAAAGGGATAAAGGAAAATAATAAAGTAAAAAATAAAGGTAAAGAAAGCTAAATATAAAGACAAAGGGGAAGGCAAATTTAAATACTTAATATACTGACAAAGGTGGGGTGAATATGTAGATGAAGTAAAGCATAAAGATAAAACTCAGGATAAAGGTAAAAGAAAATATAAAAAATAAAAACGAAACGATAAATACATATATATATAATACTAGCAAATGCCCGCTTGCTTCGCGGCGCCTAATAAAAGCAAAAGCAGTCTGTAAACATTTTTAGTTTAAATTGAAACGACTAAAAAACAAAATCCTCCTCACACATATGCCAAAAATAGTAGCGCTGTGATTCCATATGGAATACTAATCCCTTTCGATGTAATGCGTTTTACCTATGGTCTTATTTCCACTTGTGAGATCTCTGCCAAGCGTGCGCAATATTCTTCTATGATCCTGCAACTTCAGCATTGGTCCGGTGTATCATGTAAGCCAATAAAAGTCCTTATACGGAAACTCAAGAGCACAGATGAGCGTTTTCAATTATAGGAAGACCAAGAATCCTCGCTACCCCACAGGATGAAAACTTTTCGCGTACATTGTCTAAATGAGTCGTGTGATCTCATGAATATCGTTCAAATGAAGCCATTGATATACCTATCGTGTTCCTTCGTGGACAGACGTGGTCGAATCTTTCCTTGTCAATTCGCCACTTTTACAATTCGTCTCAATATTTATGAATTGGTTTCTTTGAGTCTTACTGCTGTAATAACGGCCGCCTCGAGCAACTTCGTCAAGCGGAGGTAGATGCAAGATCACGCTTACACACGTCTAAGATAGGGCCAAAGCAGAACAAACCCCATGGGGATTTCTATATATTTCGGGTGCAGCGTCATTGGGTCCCTTTTCTGCAACACCTTTGCTTGTCATGAAATAAATACGAATTATGAATTCCAATCAGATTTTATAAAAAATACGGATTTTCTAACTACCTAAACTCCGGCGGGTCCATTTTTAGCAAAGGAATTTTTCACATACCGGTAGTCACGCTGCGAATTTGAACGAAATCTGTTAATAAATACGACTTTTATAAGTAACTCTACTCCAGCGCCACCAGCGTGTTTTCTAGTAGCCGTTAATAGGACTTCGGACAATTTGACTGGGCTCTATTGAGTGGTTGTTGAGTTTAGTCCGAAAAAAAATTCGCAAAAAAAAATTCACGCGAAAATTTCGATTCCCCCCCTGTAAGTACATGGAAACAAAAAGCGAAAAGTGAACCAGTTCCGGGAAGAAGAAACTCATGATAAGACTGAAAATGTTTCGAATGAAAAAAAACATCATGAAAGTAATAAACGTTTCGAATGTGTATTAACAAAATAGGTTCATAAATACGGCTTTTATAAATAACTCGACTCCAGCGCCACCTAGCGGGTGAATTTTACGCAAGTGCTTTTTTCATCATGCTTACGAAATCGGTTCATAAATAAAACTTTTATAAATAACTCGCCTCCCGCGCCACCAAGCAACTCCGTTTTTGGTAAACGTATTTTCCATTATGCTGAAGCTATACCTTTTGAATTTGAAAGAAATCGGTTTATAAATACGACTTTTAAAAATAACTCGACCACAGCGCCACCTATCGAGTTTTCTGGTAGCCTATAATAGGACCATATATGCAAGGTATAACCTCTGAAAATTTGACTGAAATCTCTGCAGTAGTTTTTGAGTTAACTCCGAACAACGAAAACGGCTATTATTTTATATAAATATATAGAATATATAGAATAAATGGAATAAAAGAAAATGCATACCAAAATTATTCCTAAAAATTTTACTTGAAAAGTTTGAAATTTTGAAGAAACTTTGTCGAATTTCCCAAATTTTTTGTACAAAATTTTAAATTCGGACTTACGTGGGCTTTCATACGTTCATAAAAAATAAGAAAAATTGCCAAAACTTGTTAAAATGTCGCGCCCCTATTTATTCACCCGTCACCGCATATATGTACATACATGAGGAATGTACTAAGATAGCGTGGGATTTCTGGTCTTACAATAACAGTTGCAACACATACTAAATAAATTCCAACGTCAAAATTTACCCTCGACAGCATGAAAAACCCATGCGTGAGTGGGTCACGGTAGAACGGTTTGAGAACAAGCACCTTGTGTGCCCGGACCCATCATGGGAAAGATCCATCCAGCTAGTTTGCGTTCTCCTGTGAAGAGGAATACTGACATCACCGCAATTAAGGAAATGCAATGCGCGGGCTAAGGAAAGTAAACTATTCGTCCTTATGACATGCAATCAAATTGACAAAGGATCGCTTCTATGAGTATTTGGAGCGCTCTTTTGAGTAGTCGCTCTTCAGGCTATAAAAAGCTTGATTGTTGACCTCAATGTTGGGGTGGTAAAATGAACGGATATGTAGTTGAGTGTCGACGAAACGCCAGACAATAGGCTACAGCTGAAAAAATATTCACTCAAAGCACGTTTTCGACATCGTAATTTGTTTAAAACACTGTTTTAGACTTTCATGACTATATTTTATTCAAAAATTAAAACAATTTAGTTCTAAGAATATTTATGACTATTTAAAAGCACTTTTATACAAAATAGCTAAAAACTACTACTATAATACTCGAACTAAAAATATTTATTGTTTTTTTCTAACTGCGAAGTTTTCACAAAGATCACTCATTTGTAGGTATGTATGTGTATATGCACACACATACGTACATAGTATATTTAATATATAAGGGCTATTCGCGATTTGGTGCATAAGAGCTGACAAATTTATGCAATTGCAGAAATATGCCATGGATTGTGAGCGACCTTTATTAAACTGTCGTGGTAAAGCTTTTGCAAAACAATTTTTGTGCATCAGCTTTGGTTTTGTTTATGAATGCAATGCATAGGATTTTTATGCTATGGATTTTAGGTATTGCAAATTTGTCAAGCCATGACAAATGCAAATGCATGTATTTTGTTTGTGTATTGCAAATAATTTGCAATACAAATTTGCAATGCAATGATGCTAGGCCATTTGCACCGGATCGCGAATAGCCCTATAGTAATAGCAAAAATGTGGTTCATTATGCTCTAAAAAATATCTGTGTGAAATGTAAAAGTTTTTGGTCAATATCCTAGGCTCGCCCAAGTCCATCAAAGTTCAGGTACTAAAAAAAAAATTTTCTTAGCTAACTTCGATTCTCTACAAAAGAGGTCCATATACCTAATTATGTAGGACTAATACTTTAGAAGATTATTGCAATTTTAGTAAAAAAATTTATTACTTAATTTATTTATTAATTTTTATTTTTTGGCCATATTGAACTTTGATGGACTTGGGCGAGCCTAGGATATTGACCAAAAATTGTCATATTTCACACAGACTGTTTTTAGAGCATTATGAACCAAATTTTTGCTATTACCAATCAAAATTCTAAAAAAGCGGATTTTCGGCCTACGCTAATATTTATGTATATAGAAAAAAAAAGTGGCAATTCATAGTTTATATAAATATTTCATTAAAACATTAACATGTATACATACGTACATTTTCATTTATTACCCTAACTTAAAAAATATTTTACTAATTAACAAAGTCTTTTTACATAAAAATACAAACATATACAAACATACAAATTTAAAAATATATGAAAAGTAAAATTAAGAAATTAAAGCGAAAAATATATTGTCATGTGAATGCTGTCAGGGCATTCAGCTTCATTTGTCTGTATACCAGTATACAAATTCGATTTGCAATTTAAATATTTACTACATACATATGTACATACATAATATTTTATCAACTGTAAAAACAAAAAAAAGATTTGAAATTGTAAAAAATATCGACTCTAAAAGCGATTTGCTTATGTAGGTGAGAATTTTATGTGCTGAAATTTTGAAGCAAAAGTTCAGTTTCTTTTTCAAGTCCGCTGCCCACCGTTTATCGTTTATTGGAGGAGCACGCAAAAAGAAAAAATCTTGTCTTAAATATTTATACACATGGCAGTTGGCCTTAAATTAATATTGTTGTTGTTGCATTTTATAATTTTCAAACTAAATATTATTTTATATAATACAATAAAAATAAATACAATGCAACACTTATAAATACTATACGAATCGATTCATTCATTTGGTTTCGTCTTTTTTACATAAATAATACGATTCTTTGTGTTCAATAATGAACTAAGTTTTAAAAAAATTTATTTCAAAAACAAAGAAATGCAACATTGCCACCTTTTATACAAAATTAAGTTAGGCTGTTTCGCTAAAACAAACGCGAGTTAAATCTACGATAATATGCACAGCTCAGTTCCCGCGCCTTTACTTGTGTGTGTGTGTTTGCGTTGTGTGATGATAAAGCCATTCGTTTCGTAATTATTGCAGCGTAAAATTTGTAAAAAAATATTCTTTGATTTTTTTTATCTAAAGTGTTTTTTTTTTTTAATTTCTGTCAGTATTTAGGTTTTCTGCTTCTGGCTCTACATCATCTCGTGCCGGTCTTGTGGAACCTTGATGAACCAATGCATCCATTTCCTCCTTCTTCGCGCGCTTGAAGAATCCAAGCTGTAAATTACAAATATTTAAAATAAATTTAGTACAAGAAAGCAAACGGTAGTAAAAATTTTTAGGGAAAATATTGGATACATTTATGCCAAAAATGGTCTTGTTAGTTGGCGCCAGGGTCGAGAAATTTTGAAAAACCGTATTTATGCTCTGATTTGTTTCACATTTGGCATGTTTAGTTGAAACGTAGTAGAACATAGATTTGCAAAAAATGGAACGGCTGGTGGCGCTGATGTCAAAATAAAAAGTACATTCGGCATATACATAATGCATGTTTTCTTCCCGCTAAAAATTCTTTCAAAAACAATATTAAACAAACGTTTTCAATGTAAATTTTAGTAACGTAAAGCCAGGTAACGTCACGTCAGATAATTCAGCTGATTAAATATAAAGCGGCAAAGATTTCTACATTTAAAAACTTGAAAAATTAACCGTAAATATTTCCAATATTACCTACTACAAAATCGTTTATACAAATAGTTTTGCCCAATTCGCAGAGCTTTGCAATTTGGTAATCGAAGTCAAAATCCACTTCTGGTTTTTGTAACGTCACGCCAACGCGTAAGGTTACTAATATCTTTAAATCGCTACTACCAACAATTGAAATTTTTTATACTGAATATGGGGCCATTTAATTGCTATGCAAATCTAGAAACACCTTTTTAAAATTTTGACTTTGTCAATTGTTGTTTTTTAACATTTTGTCAAACGAGCGTTACGAAACGCCAGTTTGGAAATACCCATATATAAGGAGGTCAGATGGTTCATGAACAGAGTCGGCTGGGGAATTGCTGGATATCCTTATGAATACTCATTTTCCACGGTGCAGGATCAACGGAGTGGAAACTATTTACCAAACCGCTCCGATGACCTACTGGAGGAGTTACTGGAGAGATAAAATATAAAATTTGTTAGTTTCAGCTTCTCACCCTTTAAATCATCGGCTACGGACGGTGAGATATCGTCATTCCAGTTATTTTTAGAGCATGTCTTTTACTAAAGAATGTCCCGTTAAGCCGGTGAAAGAAGTTTTCTTCCTAAAACACGTTGATCATGCCAGTGCTAGAGATTTCTGGCCAATAAGCCTAATGTCCTTTGTACTCGAGAAATTTTTAGAGGCTCTTAGATCTGTGCATTAGAGACAAAACGTCCAATTTATCTTGCTCTCAACATGCATACCTGAAAGGGAAGCCAATGAAGACTGACCTGCATTAGGTGGTTTGTACGATTGAGACTTCGCTCTACTACAAACAATAAGCATATAAAATACACACAAAACTCAGTGCGGTCGGCACAGCGTACATGCCGGAAAGATTGGCTTACCTTCTATTAGGTTCAGTCGCAGCTGCGAGGACCCGAGCTGCAAAGAGACAGTCGAACACTGAGGCTTAAAACACTCTGTACATAATTCCTGCAGAATGTTTCAGAGTTCAGCAGCCTCTCTCTTTATGGCGTACTAAAATTCATTAAAGCCGCCAAATGGCTGCTGGTTTCATGCTCAAAAGAAGGTTAAATTGTTCCACAGAAGTTTTAAGCAGATAATTTTATTGGGGATCACCGAACACGAAGAACTCGTTTGGGTTTGGGCAAGTGCGAAAGAAAACTTTGTACAAGGTAATGTTTTCACATTTGGGATAAATACGTACATTGCAAATATAACTATAAGCATTAGGACGGATTGATTTACATAGGACGCAATATTCTTACTTACTAGAGCATAGGTTGAGATACATATATAAGTATTTGAAGTAACTTTCCCGACCAATGCATGGCTTCAAGCGTTTCTTTAGTCCCCTTTGTTTTAATTTGTGTTTCTTCTAAAGTGTTATGTGTAAGGAACCTAAGTAGTGTCACAATAAGCGACATACACGAATCAAAAAGTGGGTCAAAATGGTTCGACATTAAAATCAAATATCTTTCTCCAGGAAAAGGGCAACAAAATGGCGCTACCATATTTCTTGAGTACCACAACCAGCCTTGATGCATTGCTCTAAATTTTCTATTAGATCCCTAGACCTTCGAGCGCTATAGGCATAAAATAACGTCGAAATGCTTCTATAAAGATGATTACTATCATCCCACACTACAACTTAAGCTCACCTTATACATTCCGTAAGTCATTAGCGCCAATAGCAAGAGCCCACCCATCACGGCCAATATATACACCCATATCGGCGTACCATAGAGTTGATGTTTCGAAACAATATTATAGTCGATGCTCCTGCGTATCGCCAGCGATTTGCCAGTAGAGTCACCAATTTTTTTCACATCCACTCCGATTAGTATAACAAAATATTCCCATGGTTCAATCAATATTTGATTGATCTCATTCAGATCGACTTGATATTTCATTGTCACTGTGATGGGCTTCTCGGGTTTGAAATTATAAACACGCATAACAGAGCGCACACAAATCGTCATCTCGGGGTCATTGCAATTGAAAACGATCGTACGATTCACTGGCAATTTACCTCTTAGATCTTCACTTAGCAGTTCGTGCGCCTTGACGATACGCGCATACTGGGCTTTGGTCGCCGTATTGGCAGCAGCTTCACGACGTCTACGACGCCGAAGTGATAAAGTCGTTGTGTCATCGGTATGGGTTGCTGAAAGATTATGGCAAAATGGAAATGGAGTAAGGAAAGAGTTCAGCAATTATTTGGCGATCTTTAAACTTACAACTTTCGCTTTCTACTGTCATTTCATAGAAGCTGTTGGAATCATATTGTGCATTAATGTGTTTATGCTTATTCGTCTTGGAAACTGTAGTCGTGCTGTGCGTACTCGTCGATACCTCAATGGTATTCATGATGAGCTGTGTGTTGTTTTGATAGTAATCGATGCCAATCAATTGCGCATCATAGACAGCCTGCATATTTATTTTATCCATTTCGATAATTTGTATGGTGTTCGTAGTGCCGGGCACCTTATACGCCACAGGTATATAGAAGATCACATCCATTGCTCCGACAGTGCTGGGACCGACGCTTTTTATCTGTTTAAAAGGGATATGTAAATTTGACATTTGTACAAATCAAATTAAATATCCGCAAACTCACCTCGTAGTTATTAATGATTTCGGTAGTATTGCTGATCTTCTCCAAGTTGACATGCGGTGTTTTGGGAATGCTAAAAATATAAAACGCAACGTGTAAGTTAATATCATCAACAGTTTTACGTTGGCTGTGATCAGCACATAAATTTTATGTGAAGTTTTTTCAAGCCAAAAGAGGTTCAAATATTTTCTTCGTTGTATGTAAGACGGTTGTCCCATCTACTTAGTTTTATTCTAAACTTTTAAATATTGAATTCGTAACCTTAAAGCTTATTAAGAACTGGGAGCGATGTGGCACCTTACGCTGTCTGGGCTATCTTGGATTATATAGTCATTATAAATACATATTTTTGACAGGGCTAATGCAAAATTGCTCAACGGTTACCTCGCTCACCATTCTCGCTTGCGCACCAACTACCGAAGTATCGACGTTCTAAGCATGGACTACAAGGCTTAATCGAGCGTATTGTTTGAAAGGCTGCCGCCCACCGTCAACCAACCGATTGGGTCCTATAAGTGTAGCTTCAGACTTGGTAAATCAATTATGGACCAGGTATTCACCATAAAGCAAATCTTGGAAAAGACCCGCGAGAAGTTGCTGTTTACATTTAAAAACTCCTTCAACCACCACAGGGAGTCTCGATCGTCTCTTATGCTAACGACTGCTCTCCTTCTCGGCGCATAGATCCGCAATTTCCAATCGGGTGCAGAGCCGCAACAACGTCCTCAAATCGTTAGCCGGCAGCACCTGGGGCAAAGACAAAGAAATGTTGTTGGCAACATACAGGGCAATGGACTGGCCGGTCCTAAACTATTCAGCGCCCGCTTTGTCGCCGGGGACTAGCAGGACGCAGTGGACGAAGCTGCAGACATGTCAGAACACGGACCGCGTCAGGATGCCTTCTGATGTCGTTTCAGCACCACCATCACGACGAGGCACAGATGATCCCCGTCAGGGAGCATAACCTAATTCTCTGCAAGTAGTTCCTGGTAGGGTGCCACAGACATGGGCACCCGAATAGATAACTGCTTGCAGAAGAGCCCTCGCCAAGGCACGTCAGCAGGCGTCTCAACGAACTGACGGAGGTTCATTAAATAACCTCTGAACCCAACTGCATCCCTTAAACGGCATTCACATGGAGTCGGTCTTGAGTTATATAGACTCCCGACCTGTGAAGGTCATTTTAGGCACACAACCACCCAACGTGGACGAGACAGAGCTTTGTCTGCCTTGAGAGACTCGCACCACAATAGCCCAACTCCGCTATGGCTACTGCAGTAGACTAAACTCATACCTGAGCAGAGTGACTGCAGATGTGCCCAATGAGTGCCCGCTATGCGGAGAGTCGCCACATGACTCACGGCACCTCTTCGCATGCCCCCAAAACCCCACCCAGCTACCGCCCCTGTCCCTATGGACAGACCGGGTGCAAGTTGCACATTTCCTGCGCCTCCCTTAGCTAAGCCTAACGTTGACGGGCAATCCGACCCGAGTGGGGCGTGGTAGCCGCTACAACAACAATAATAACAAAATAAAGAGAAATTTTTACACTTCTCTTTCCTACACAAAATTATACATAACCCTTAGCACTCCTACTTACCCGACTATATCGATTTCGGTGAATTCTCCGAGTGTTATTACATCGGTGATCATGTTATTGGCTTCGTTGGCCTCCTTGCCTGTACTGAAAACCTTGGCGGTTAGAATCACTGGTTTTCCCGATATGCCAGCAACATCGAAAATAGCAGTAAATGAGTCTTTGGCGCCTCTCGCTATTGCAACGCCATTATTCAAATCGCATTCCAAGTAGTCATTATCTTTGATACGGCAGTTACCGGGTATTTTGGCGAACGGCATGCGATTCGATGAAGTGATGCTGATTTGAGGTAGATAAGCTGTCTCGCCATTGTTGGTTATGTCATATGTGACGGCCAGTGTACGACTACTGCCGAGAATGTATGTGTGACTGAAATGGAAGGAAATCAAGTTGTTTGTTATTATTTAACTTAAGTGGAAGAATTCTTTTTATCGTGCGACACTCACTCCAAATTTTGGCTTTTAACTTCCAGATCAGCCACACAGATATCGGAACTGCAGCCCGTACTAAAGATGATCTTCTCACTGTACACCTTTGGCTCGGCCGGATCAACGGCCGCGCATTTATCACAGAACACTGTAAAGTAAATCAGAATAAATTTTGGTAATTAGCATTTGGGATTCGTTATAAGTGCCATCTAAAAGTTACTCACCTCCCGAATTCGGCACTCCATTAATGAGATCATAGTGCATTTCCAATTCGATTGGCTTGAAAATATCCGCCACGCTACTGTGTACTTCACAATCAAATGAGCGGCATTGCTCCTGCAGGCCAGCCGTCGCATTAAAACTTATCTCATTCGTGCGTGTTTGCACCAGCTTAACGCGTTTGACTTGTGGATCTACAACAATACGTATAGCCAAGTCCTGATCGCTCACCTTCGCGGATGGAGTGGTGATTTTATAGCAGGTTGTGATCTTAAAACTATTTTGATCGGTTTTGATTTCTCGTGTTTGTGATTTGACAGTGGCGTGTATCTTGACCACGGGATAGGCGCGATAGACGAAAACCGCTTCGGCATTTGGTGCGCCGACGGCAAAGTCATTAAAGCCATTGTTATCGATATCGGCGCCTTTGGAAAGTCCGTGACCAAACATATGCTCGCCATACTTGCTGACAACCGCATCAGGTGAGTTCAGGCGTTGGCTGTGATGCTGGCGTATGCCGTCGTTGCTGCCGAGATAGATGAAGACGGCACCGTTGCCAGCGAATGGCGCACCAACAGCAATATCTGCGGCGGAAGAATAACAACTTTGAGTATATTTGATTTTAAATGAAAGCGAGAATCCCAATACCATTGAAGCCATCAAGGTTGATATCGCCCAGCCGACTGAGCGTGGTACCGAAACGCGCTTTGCCATGCGCTGGCGAAACTATCAGTTTTTGCTCGAAATTGAACTGTGAGTAGGCAATGAAATAAAAATTATGAACTACCGACCAAATTAAGGTAAATTTAATTTACACCTACATTGCCTTTGTTGAGGAACACATAGATGGCACCATCATCGAAAGAACCAGACGTTGAGTATTGTGGCGCTGAAATCACCACATCGGTGAGCCCATCGCCGTTGAGATCCTCAGTCAGCAGCGAATAACCGAAATATTCGCCGAAATGCGTGCCGCGAAAAACATAAACGCGCGTCATCTTCAGCTTGCTATCCTCAGAATATTTGTATAAGTAGGCCTGTTATCGAGAGAAAGAAATATTTTTTTAAGTTGCAATGCGCGCAAATTAAAATACTACTCACCTCTCCCGATTGCAAATTGGCCTGTGGCGCTGTTGCCACATACATCAGCCGATTCTTGTCCTTACTGTCAAAGTAGCCTGAGCCCACAGCATAACCAATGTACGAGTCATTCGCCTGATCATTAGTATCCAGTACGTATTGCCCTGAGAATTCAAGTTGTCGTGTCACGCGCTTTCTTTCAGACGTATCACGCCTACTCAATATTGGATCCTCCTCGAATCGCTTGCGTACATGTATCGTCGAACCTTTCCAATTACTGATGCCTGGCGCACCAATAACGAACTCTTCATTATTATCGGTCACATGCGCGCTCAGCCCTTCCTCTGCCAACATATAATAGAAAGTGGGATGATTGTTAACAGTCTTCCTTTGCTCCGATTTAAGGCGCAATGGTGAGATCCTTTGTACTTTTGTTGGATTGTCATTGAGTGTGTCTTTAACCCAGTAACAGATGCCATTCATTAGGTAATCATTTGCGGTGGGCGTGAGAAAACGTGGCGCGCATATTAACAGCTTATCCGTGTCCTTGGTGCCGCCATCCATGGCAGCACCCAGCCATTGATTGTCGCGCGCCTCATTGTCGTAGGTATATGAGTCGAAGTTCTCGATTGTGATATTACCTCTATCATCGATGACATATGGATTACAGGTGGAAGTTGGTGACAAAGTGCAACGATAAATGGCACCAGTTTCATTGATATTCCGCTGGGCGGGCAGTGTAGATTGAGCGCGTGGTGCACCAACAATTATGCTGAAAAAAACAAGAAGGAAAATGAGGCGTTAGTTCATTTTGATATGAAATTAGGGCAATAAACTACGTGAAGAAGGGTAGAAATATTAAAAGCGTAGGGATAAGTACTTTAAAGATGTAATGGGAATGTAATTTTGGCGATCCAACCTTGCATAAAATGGCGACCCCATTTCTCGTTGTTCGTCTATGAAACAATTCCATACAAAAAACACTATTTTCGCAACGTGTATTAGCTATATTAAGATCTGATCAGGCCTAAGGATCAATAAAGACCTAAATGGAGTATACCACTCGGTTTGTGACCAAGTGCCCTAAAGGTATCCCGCAAGGTTTTTCCTTGCCCCAAGGATCTCGGCGTGGAAACGCCCAATTTTTTTCCGACTTTAGCCAGGCGGCCAAAAACAGCGCTTATTTTCTCCTTCGTAACAGGGTAGCAACTGACAGATTGGCCGCGAAGAGGCGGCTGCATATCCATTGGTAGCCTAGACATGGAAGGAATCGGGTTGGCAAATGGCAATGCCAAAAGCCCTATTGATCTGACTTTCGAGCGACGGAACGAAATGCTAAAATCTCTTAAACATCTTTATAATGAGATAGACGAGCACATGAGTAGGCAGGCTACACCAATGTGGAACAGGCTGGCCACCTGTAAGGCTACAAAGATCGTGTGGAAAAACGGCGAAGCTTGACATAACCGCCTAACGTTTACGGTCTCGTTGGCATAATAAATTACGCCTACTTTTAGCTCATAGCAGTTTGAACACCAGTTAGTATTGCTATGGACCATATGGTCTATGTGTTACTTTTTGCAACCAGATTAAGTAGTAGGGTTATGCCCTACCCATCCCCCGCTATCTGTTTCCCAGCATGATAGCAATCTTGTTTAGGTGCGCTGCTTATAGCGCCCTTACACGACATGTATTTGCATATGTAAATGTTACTTTTCTGGTACGTTCTAGTATATGGTACATCGGAGTAGACACAAAAAAGTAGCATTTACATAATGCAAATACATACCGTGTAAGAGCACTGTTAGAGAAGAAAATCGTTGAGTGTCGGATGAGGTAAATGATATTTTTGGAGAGCAGATATATGATTCGCCTAAGCTAGCAATAGCTAGCGCAAACATGATAATATCACTTCGTGACGATCTCGGACATCGCTTGCTTCATTCCACTTTCCCATAGATACGTCGATTGATAAGTCTGCCGACTTTGCTCACGCTGGACACCGTTTCGACATTAAGTGCATACATACTTTAAAAAGGATGATTGGGATGGCTTCGCGGAAGCTACCGAAGCACCTCCGCCGCTCTTCCCCCACTAATTAATGTTTTCTTTGAGTTTCGCAAGGTGGTCTCTGTGAAAGGGGCACGCTTCATTACAGCCGGGCGTTTGGAGGAAATCCGCCGACATTTTCCGACTGTAGCTGATGTGCTGGCAAACTAGTGTGACCATCTTCTCAGCTCAATTCTGGGTATCCCCGTATCCGAAATTTTAAAATTAAGATACAGCAGCTGGTAGTTCAGTATAGGCAGAAAAAGTGCGGAAAGCATCTCAAGCCATGAAACTCCATTGATTTATTTACGCGACACGATGAGAAGAGTGAAGGCTTCATTCAGTGATCTCGCCTAGTCAAACCCGAAGAGATGCACTAGCTATGTACTTAAGGCAGCACTTTTTGACGTAGAATACGTTTTACGTTTCGATATGGAGGCTATGCTCAAATCGAATTGATAGTAAGAATTTGTTTATGAATTTTGAAGTATGATTTTTGTAAAATGCCGTTTTGACTGCAATTATCAAATAACTTTAAACTGTACTTTTAAATTGCAGTCTGAGCCTTTTTTGAACAAGATTTCAATGAATTTACTCATAGCGTCGCTAATATAAACGAAACAGAGAGTTTTAAGGAAAAGTTAGATAATTTTTTAGATCATCTACTCAAAAATTACTCAAATCGAAAAACTTATAATTTTTCCGATGTGCTGGTAAAAGAAGTTCAAATATTTTGTAACGGAGGAGATAGGGGTCATTATCTTCAAATGGACTATGTCTACCTTTTGACAGTTCAGCCTAAAAGTGTTGAGGTCGAAATATGTTTTTCATCAGTAGGTTTTGTATGTAAAGCCTGTAGGCCAAGCTCAGAAGACTCCGCTTTGAACGCTTTGCTGCTCTTACGAAAACATTTTAAGTGCAATAATAACAACACCGGCAAAAAAAGGGATGTGTGTTTTTAACCAACACGTATTTCGACCCGCTGAATCCGATTCTGAGATCCGTTTGACTCGTACACCCTCAAAATTTCTAGTAAATTGCGAAAAAAATGGCAAAAAATTCTCCATTCGCCATTCCTTTATAGAGTAGAATAAACTGTTTAGAGAAATTGTTTTTGTATATTTTTATTTTATATTTTTTTTTATTAATCGTTACTTTCAAAAGTACATGGTAGTTACATTGTTATTTGTGATGTATACGTTCCTCAATCATATGGTTTTTTAAATACAATTAAAAAATGTTTTACTTTAAAATTTGTCTGATTTAATAAATATCGCTAGCGTAGAGTGCAAAGTTGCTAAGTCCCAATTTAAAAATTGTACAGGAGAGGAAAAAACTTCTTATAGCCATTTCTTCAAGTATTTCGCAAAACTTTGAATACAACATTTTGACTGTTTATAGCAAAGCGAAACTCCATACGAATCAGAGGGATTCGATCTTTATTAAAAGATTTCGGAGCTTTTTTGGCCTTAGGAAATTTTCAGTTCATTGAATATAAACGAGAAAACATAAAACAAGGACCTGTACCCTTTTCGAGACGATGCAATTTTAATTTATCTAACGACCTATATCAAAATATGATATTTCATTAAAAGTGAAGTTAGCAACTTTACAATCAGTTTATCGTAAATTTTAAATAGTTTTATTTCATGGTATGTTCAAATGTTTTCAGATATTGAATTTTTACTCATATTCATAAAATTTATGACTCACGTTGAATCCCAGGATATATCCCGAAATCCCGGGATCACAATTTTCCTGATATTTTGGCATCCCTAGTATCTACGTATGTATCTACATACATATTATAGATATGTACATTGTACATCCATATATATATGTACATCATATCATCAGATCTGTAATGTTAGTTCGATTTTACGAAATGAGGTATCAAATAAAAAGGGCTTGGCCTGAAGATGTGCAATAGCTTCTTATTTTTTCAAAAAGAGTTGCCACCTAACAAAAAAATAAAATTCAAATTATTTTTAAGTTAAATCAATTATTACACTATGAGTATTGATCGAAATGGTTTTGAAAAGGCCTTATATCTTAATTACACATATGTAGGAGGGTTGCCACCTATTTCAAAAAGCAAGTTCGACTTAAATAAAGGCAGAAAATTGAAATGTATATCCTGATTTGGATGTCAGACGAAAGAGGTTGTGGTTTGAAAATATTTTGAATAGGGTTGCCACCTGTTTCAAAATTAGATTTTAAATAACGTATGCATGAGTTAAATGAAATATTAAATTATTACGTGAAACGAAGGAGGTAAGGTATCCTTAGTTTAAATATTGAGATTATTAAAGAGGGATGCCACCTGGTAAAAACGTAAACTCAAATTATTTAATAAGTTAAAGCAATTATTGAAAATATGCGTATCAAATGAAATGGGTTTAAAAAGGCTTTATTTCTGAACTGTAGTTAGGAGCGTTGTCACCTAAAAGTAATACAAATTTCTGCAGAAAATCGAATTCCTGAATCGAAATAATGATACACGCCATGGCATATATTTATTTATAAGCTGATGGTACATATGATTGAAGTTAATGAGGGTCTGCTTCTCTGTTGCTAATTATTATTGTTTTGCAATTAATTTTGATTTATTAAATTCAGTTCAGTACAATCAAAACGAATATTTGATGCACCGTTTTTAACTTGAATGTGATCTTAATAATGGCACGTATTCTACGTTTAAGTTTAGCGGCTGTGGCTCCGACACAGCCTGCAGGTTAAGACGGTGCGCTGGACTGATCGTTTTTCTACATCCTTCCAAATCTTAGAATCGAGCGAAATGCCGTGCCAAAAGTAGAAGTGGAACAGAGGTACCCTTTCTTGCAAGCTCATTTGCTTTCTCATTCTCTAGTATGTATGTATGTTATAATGCCATGGTACTCATACCAGATGCAAAGCGAAGTGCTTTAGCATCATACTGAGAGTTTTACAGCAATTCGATACCGTTTCCGCATTTATTTTAAATGAAAGTAGATTCACATAAATTTCATTTGCTGTTGCAGTAATTAGACGTAGACCATCAACAGGTTTGTGTTTATCAGCTAGCTCGGCCAATAAGACATTACAGACAATGGGAGACGGAATGAAATCGTCATTCCGAATTACTCAGCGTATATTCCTCCGCCTATTCTGTGATCCAGCTGGTATTTATCAGTATATCGGCCATCGATGTAAAATTCCCTATTTGACAAGCGTAAAATTTTAAGGGAGAAGCAAACAACTTTTTAAGTTTAACGATATGGGAAATGCTTACAGAAATGTTCTTAAGGAAGCAACAAATCTCGTATTTTTAAGGCTCTGTTTTTGACTTTGGATAAGAAAGCGCATTTGTAAGCAAACTAAAGGCATCTTACAGTTTCCTAAGTAAAAACACTATCAGCTGATTGCCAAAAATTCCTACAGCTGAGATCACCTGTTTTTTTTTGGCATTTTCTATTATCTCTTACAATTTCTTTCATCTCTATTACAATTTCCTCCATTTCTATTACAATTTATTCCAAATACACTAACACAATGAACCAAAAATAGCAAAACACTAACCACCCTACAAGACATTGCTGAGCACTTTAGGCAAAAATTCTCACACATTTACACTTTTGTTTTTGTAGTACGGCATAAATGAGTAGTTTGACTATTAGTACTGAGGACTTTCTGATGACAACATTGAGGGGAAAGTACTCAATTTTTTCCCATGGCCTGAACGAA